AGAAAAGACAGAAAGGAGGGAGACGAAAGGAGGAAAACGAAATGCAGATGTAGATGCAGCAGTAAAAAAAACAAGTAAAAGAGAGATATACAAATATAAATATATAAATATAAAAAAGAAAGAGAAAGGTATAAATAAAAAAGCGAGGAAGAAAAATAAGAAAGGAAAGAGAATGAAAAAAACAAACAAACAGACGAGACACTAGAAGCTGGTGGTGCAATGTAAACGGCGCGGACAAGTATATCTATCAGTATTTATGCAGTAATCGAAAACTATCGTCGCGACTTAGACAAATATTATTGACAGCATTTAATGATTTTACTTGAATCCTCTCTAATTCTAATCCTCTAATCGAAACTGCAGCATTAAAAGATATATAAAGGGAGACAGGAGATGGTGAATAAGAAAAATAGAGAGAAAAGACAAAGATACAATATCCGAGCGCGTAAGACGATTGAAAAGCAAGAAAGGCTTGGACGAACGAAAAACCATAGTAAAAGAAAAAAGATGAAAAAAAGAACGACTATCGTTGATCGCTATATCAAGCAAGTAGATGTATATTTAAGAGTAAACGAAAAAAAAATATAGTAGCGTGTCGGTATATTAGTGTTATAATTGCGAGAATGCGTCGCCGCGTGTCTCATGTCTGACCATTGGCCGCTTGTGCGAACCGATACATGAAAGAGAAAATATGAAAAATCAGTATATAAAGAACGAGGAACGATTGCGTATTGTGCGTATACGAGTGCGTGAGAATATGTGTCGGAGAACGTGATACAAATTGCGTCAATTGTAAATTATGCGTTCAGCCTTAATACGAGCGTAATTTTTGTAAATTTTAATTTTCTTCTAAAAATAAATCGGATAAACTACGAATATATGCACGAAAAGTCTGCGACATAGCAAGCGCTGTTTTCTATAATTTGTATAAAAATTTTTAATTTTAAAAATAATTTGATTTTTCAAATTATTAACTAATTATAATACAGTAATTTACATCAAAAGTAATATAATTTATTTAAATTTTACTTTCAATTAGGTTGAAAGTAAAATTGCAATTTCTTTATCAGATATATCATATTTTAACGAAGAAAAAATATGAAAAGGAATGATAAATGATCCGTCACAAAAAAATTGTTAAAGCTGAACGCATCTTAAGAAAGTGCAAGAGAGCGCAGTGTGCGAATACAAATTGACTTTAACACCAAAGAGAAATTTTTTGCAATACGAAAATTAATCTTTAGAGGCTCCTTTACAATACGTTGATGATTAGGTTAAATAGTTCGATGAATAAATTAACGAAAAATTGGGACGAGATTTATTAAGTGTCTTGTGAATTCGGTAATCGCGCAATGTGACAAATGTAAGTTTCGTTAAACGAAATTTAGCATTAAAATGTTTCATTGTTATTAGGTTTGTTAAATTTGAGAATGCGAAAATGATCGCAGAATTTTAGTTGCGAGAAAAAGATCACTTATTTTCAATCGAGAAAATTAAACCGTCGCGAATGCTCCAACGAGTTTTCTCGATTGTTAATTTCGAATGAGCTTTGTCAAGTATATCAATGCGAGAAATGATATACGTATAGGACTCCGGTTTCGCTTAATTCGTCGTTAAGCGATGCTTAAATCGGTGTTAGGTTGGTGCCGGTCAATCCGACATACGAGTCAACGATACGCAAATAAGCGATTCGTTAACCGATTATAAACAAAAGAATCAACAGTAGATATAGTAGAGCGTGAGACAACTTCAAAGGGGTAATACTACCGTTGTTCCGTTAATTGTTTCTATAGATTTTATTGCATCGCGACCGCGTCGAGTCATCCGCGATCGGGAAGCAAGCACAAAAAGGTAATCGCTCCTTAATCGCGGGAATTATTAATTTATCGCTATTCTCAATAAAAGAAACAACGCGCTGCAATGTCAACTATATGTCAATAATTCCGTTCAACTATATATATAATTGTTTGAGATTGAAATCTATTGGTATCCGATAACCGACAGAGAATTGATAATCTTAAACTTGATAAAACGACAAAAAGAAATAAAATAATAAATAGAAATTAGAAATCTTTTTATTAAATTATCTTACACGTGTGGCATTTTCTTAAATGCACGATTTATTATAAAATAGAAGAAATAATTGCAAAAATAATTACAATAATAAATCAGAAGAATCAATGTATAAATCGTCAAAATTCTATAAACCCACTTTTAAATAAGAAATTGAAGATTTGTAAAATGCGACATATATATATAAAATAATGAGAGATATATTGATTTTTCTGTATGCTGGAGCTGCGCGTTTGTTCGAAAATATAATCGTCGATCACCTATGCGAAATAAATCAAGGAATCGATAGAGTTTATAGATAATTTGGGGGAAATTCCTCCGTATTTCGAAAACGAGCGATCGATCTACACCATGCAATTTCGATCGGCTAATTTAGTCAATTAGATAATCCTTTCGAATATTTTTCATAGGTAGATCTGGACGGACCGCGAAAAGCCCCGGATTAGAGAAAGATAAAAAAAAAAATATATATATATATAGATAAATATACATATATATGTAGAGTATATGTCGAATGTACACATGCACATGTAGTAATATCGACCGCTTTTGAAGGATCGATCGCGCGAGAGAGCGCACGCGACGCGGCCGCGGCTACTCTAGCCAGGACTATTTTTCTAAGTTGCAAAGTATAATAAATTAACGACGTTGCATTATCGTTACTAGAGTATATTATAATGTATATTGATATTTTAACTAGGCGATATAAGTATGAGATAATGTTACGAGCGAGAGTAATATAACGAGACTATATATCATAATTATTATCATAATGATTATCGCGCAGGCGATAATTAACGGCGGTTCGCACGTGCGGTCGGTGCGCGTGTGACGCGCGCGACGCATTTAATTAATCGAATGCGTTAATCGCGAGATGAATCGACGAAGCGCGGAACGGGTCGGAAATGAGGGAGGTCGCGATAGGGAAGAAGGTGGAGAGAGGGAGACAAACGCTACAAGTTTCGAGCGATTTCGTCGATTCGCGAGAGACGAGCGCGAGAGGAAGGAGCGAAAGAAATCGATAGTAGAAGAATGAATGGAATAACTATAAGTGTGAGTGTGTGCGAAAGTACGAGTGTGAATGAGCGAGGTAGGGAGCAATGAATAAGCATGTATCGTTCTTCGGCCGCGGAGAGTAATAAGAGAAATAATGAAATCGTTCTGTCAGTCACCTCACACCTATATTATACAATATCATAATAATATGCTGCCATACGATATAAATATATGTCTACGGTAAGGAGTATATTAATAAAACATTACAAATAAATATGTTATAAGTAATCATCTGGTGTGCGTGCCTGTGTTTCCTTCATAATCGGTCTTCGACGCAAAATGCAAAATCTAGTGAAAAATATAAGTTACAATTGCACAATTAATTAATTATCGTGCTTATAGTAATATGTATTATACACAGTTGTGACGAAAAAATTATTAATATCTTAATATATTATAATAAAAAAGAGAGTTAGGGAAAACTAGTCAGTATTTATTAAAAGTTCATTATTGAAAGTTTCTCTTGATATATATACAGGATGTTTCTTAATAAATGCGAAAATTTTAGAAGATGATTCTTTGTCGAAAATGAAGGGAGATCTTTTCATATAAATATATATTTTTATCCCTCCCCTATGAAGTTACACTCCTCCAAAAATGGGGGTAAAAATTAGGTTTTTATTTTTTTCTCAAATTTGGAACAAGTTAAAGAAATAAAATTAGGTGGATATTTTCTACCAATAAAAAGGTTATTTATTAATATTCAGTTTTTTATTAGAACTTTTTAATGTTTATATGAAAAAACTCCCTTTTCGACAAAGAATCATCTCCTAAAATTTTTTGCACTTATTAAGAAACATTCCATATATATATAGAAAATAAGAAAAGACTTGATAATTAAACAAACAATACTAAAATCTCTAATTTATGCATTTATTAATAAATTACGTTTATTATACATTATTTAAAGAATCGAAATATTTGATCATCGATTTAGTTAAATAGCTGTTTTGTATTTGTCATATAATCATTTATTTTCAGAAAAAGTAAGAGTTTTTTGCATACATTATTTCAGACTTTACATCGATGCAAAAATAGGAAAAAAAATACATGTGCGTTATGGGTGACAGACATTCATAACTTACAAGTAACTCGACTTATGTAACTTAATCGAACACTTGCAAAATTGCGCGAACTCGCTCGACCGGTTTGTATAATCAAATGAAAGAAATGACCTTTACGTGAAAATTATATCATTTTCGTGCCAAACTTATGCATACGTTTTCTAATAATTTAAGAGATCATGTTTCTCCCTTGCATTTCATAAATCATAGAGATTATATGTTAATTCCATGTTGAGCTTTTGTCAACAAAATATTCACGTAAAACAGATGCATTCCCGATATATTTACATCAACTTTTTTTATATAAATTAATTTGTCTTTTATTTATTTGGTGTCGGATATTTTGCCAAAGGACATAGTATAATTCACTTAGTGAAAGCGATGCATTGACACGTTCTCAGGCCTGCGTACGCAATTTCTGCTATTTGCACTGGAGGATAGTATGACACAGTTACATCATGTTAAGGTGAAAAACGTTGTAGTCATTTGCAGCGAAAGCGTATTGACACACAAACATCACTGACAAATATCAATCAAGAGACGATTATCAATCAAGCATTATCGATCGAGATATATGTTTAGATTTATTTTGGCACATTCATAAGAAAAATAATTATAAAACAAATAAAAAGATATTCTACTTTTTATCATTGTATTATAAAAGTTTTTCTCAATTTCTCTTTACTAGTTTTTATATAAAATTTTAAAATTAACATAACACAGCAAATAAATAACAATAACAATAACACAGCAAAAAAAGAAAATATTACACTAAATTCGATATAAAAAAGTATGAAAATTAAAAAGAATGCAAATAAGATAAATAATTGTCGAAAGAGGGATTTTATTTGTCAGTGATTGAAATCGAAACTTAGGCAAATGTTGGAGCAGTCGTCAGGCTCTAACAAGCGGAAAGCAGGTTGCGCAAAAAGAAGGCCACTAATAGAGAAAGAACGCTTTCTACAGCTACAGGTAAAGCCCGCCCCTGGGTGAGTCTAACGGCAAAGAAAAACAAAAAGCAGGTTTCATCGATCGGGACACAAACGCGAAGCATTTCGGCGCGGAAAGAAGAGGAACAATAACAAGAAATAAATAAAAAGCAGAAAGTTTGAGAGAAGGTGGGGAGACGGGAGAAGAAGAATGCAACGAAGGACACAAGGCTTCGACGACCAAGTGGCAAGATGCAGCCAGTTATTCTTCATCACGTTCTTTTCGCTTTACTGATAATAGCTGTTACTACATCAATTGACGGAAAATTGCATCCTGGTGAGTGCAAATGTATTATCATTATATTGACTATTAAATAGACAATTAAATTTGCACATAAATAAATATAAAAGCTACTTGTAAACTAAATAACTTTAATTAAATAACGACATTTATAGTTTACAAAATTATCAAGAGTATAATCGATAACTTGCGATTGTTACAAAAACAATTATATTCAAGATAAATTGAAATAAAATCAAAATACTTGGACATCTTTGTTACATATATTTAAAAATATATGAAAAAAGGACACATATAAATATCACAAATAAATATCACAAAATACTATATTCACTACACGCACAAAATAAATATTCGTGATAATTTGCAGATATACAGAAGTAAAAATTGTATCTCGCAATTTATAAACTTATATTTGCATATGACACACTTTCATAACACGACCAGTACTATCAATTACATGATGTAATATTGCAACAGACTAAATTGTGATAGACTGAATTAACATCGTAATGCAAGATATTGCGTCTACCGGCGTACAAATCGTACTGAAGAGTATAATAGTGTACGAATAATAATTTAGGTGCTCTGAGTGAAAGGAAAATGCGGGAAAGTGGGGCTGCGATGAAGCAAATAAAGTGTTGGTCGTGCAACAATAACACGAATGCGTTAAATTTTATAATTAAAATCTTGTTACCAAATTTTTCGTCAAGGTAATTTTATCTTTACAGTTAAACTTCGCACGGCACGAAATCGCTCTATGCTGAGACGGATTGCCATCTTTCGTGAGGAAAAATCTAAAATTTGCTACGGTAAAGTGAATAAATTTGACTGTTGCTTATAATTTTTTCGATAACAATTAATAAAATATTAATGCATTAATATGAACAAATCATTAATTTGATATAATTGTATTTATCTTTTTTCCTTTCTAAATATATATCTTTAAATATAATTTTTAATTACTTTTTCTTAATATACAAATATTATAATAAAATAGAATAGAGACTTTTCAAAATGAAACAAAAGTGTAAAACCATAATTAATTTTCCTGAGTTTAAATATGTCTGGTTTAGAGAACATACATATAAATATAATGTACAATAAGATACATATATTTATGTTAATATTGTGATATACACAAAATTTCAGATTTACTTGGTTGCTTTGCGGATCAGCCGCAGCATTTATCGATAAAAAAACCTCCTGAACATCCTAGTATAATTCAAACCAGATTCTTTCTCTATACACACGCGGACCGACCAAATCCAGAGCTATTACAGTACGGTGATAATTTGAGATCCATTGTACATTCCCGATTCAATGTCACTAAGCATCTCAAAGTGCTGATACACGGTTTCAAGGGCAGTGGCAATGATATCAGCCTCATACTCGGTGTTAATCTGCTTCTCGATATAGTAATGTTTAACGATTTATCTCTTTTTTGAATTACAATTGTAAAATTTCTAAGCTATCAACAAATTCCGTTTAACTTCTCGCATACAGGAAGACGCAAACATCGTCGTCTTAGATTGGACGAAAGGAGCAGGCACCACTTATGCAGCTGCGGTAGCAAATAGCGAATTAGTCGGTCGACAATTGGCTTTGATCCTTTTGGACACTATTAATTTGGGGATCGATCCCACCAACATCCATGTGATCGGCTTTAGTTTGGGCGCACACGTGGCTGGTTGCGCTTCGGAGGTATTGAAAAGAAAGAATTTGCTTTTAGGTCGCATAACAGGTCTCGACCCGGCGTCACCATTCTTCAGGCGTCACCTGTTCCGAGAGAAGTCGAGAAAATTGGATGCCACTGACGCTCATCTCGTTGATGTCATTCACACCGACGGTTCTCAAGATTTCGCGGATGGTTTTGGCTTACTTAAGCCGATCGGACATATCGATTTCTTTCCCAACGGCGGCAGAGAGCAACCCGGTTGTACCGATGTTAAGAATTCGGTGGTAGTGAGCCATATAAAAGGTGAAAATTAAAAGTAATAAAGGAATAAATCTAAGCGCGAATAAATATTTAATTTAATTTGATAATTTTTAAATAAATTTAGCCTTTTTTTATAAATTATATACAGGGTGGGCCATTTTAAGTGATCCACTCAAATATTTCGGAAAATAATGAAAAATCAAAAAAATGTTTCAGATAAAAGTTGTATGGCTTGAAGGGGGCCATCAGATAGTGGCAATGATTTGACCTTGGAGAGTCATTTGAAGATGACGTAAAAGTAACCTTCAATTTCTTAAATGGAACTCCCTATTTTTTATTACATATTCGTGTAGCTTATCTCTAGAGCTTTCCAAAACATTATAATAAAGTATTTCTTCATTGAGTACTTTTCGAGTTATGAGGCTTGAAATCATTTCTTAATTTTGTATAAACCGTAAAATATCTAGTAAAATATTCATTTTTCGATTATCTTGCTTTAATACTTTTATGTACAAAATAATGAGAGGAATCAATTGGTGTAAAGAAAACACATAGTTATTTTTAAGAAAAAATATGTAATTTGCAATTAACAATTACATATTTTTTCTTTGAAACAACTATGTGTTTTTTTTACACCAATTGATTTCTCTCATTATTTTGTACATAAAAGTATTAAAGCAAGATAATTGGAAAATGAATATTTTACTAGATATTTTACGGTTTATACAAAATTAAGAAATGATTTCAAGCCTCATAACTCGAAAAGTACTCAATGAAGAAATACTTTATTATAGTGTTTTGGAAAGCTCTCGAGATAAGCTACACGAATATGTAATAAAAAATAGGGAGTTCCATTTAAGAAATTGAAGGTTACCTTTACGTCATCTTCAAATGACTCTCCAAGGTCAAATCATTGCCACTATCTGATGGCCCCCTTCAAGCCATACAACTTTTATCTGAAACATTTTTTTGATTTTTCATTATTTTCCGAAATATTTGAATGGATCACTTAAAATGGCCCACCCTGTATATTGATTTTATTAAAACACATTCAAACGTTTTTAATTTTATTAATATATATTAGAAAATATATCACTAAAAATATATTAATTAATAATAAATCAAAATGAATAAAAATTTTAGATTTATTTTACACATATTATATACATATATATATATATATATATATATATATATATATATATAAAATTTACACCGTTTTCTATTAAATCACATGCTTTTATGAAGTTACAAATTATTTATTTCTCTCAATTTTAGAAGAGTTATTGGATCGGAATATAGCATGTAGCCATTTAAGAGCTTGGCAGCTCTTTGTAGAGAGCATCCGCTCACAGAATGAAAAGTGTAAATTCATCGCATGGCCCTGTCCACAAGGAGGATTATCTTTTACAAAGGGAATGTGTTTCCCTATGGAATCGTCCGATTGGAATCAAGAAATGGGTTACGCGGCTAATCGTGGATCATTGGGAATCTATTATCTATCAACTAGAGCCGAAAAGCCGTTTTGCGGTATTAAAATATACAGATAATTAAATTCCATTATCGAAAACTATCATTTGGTTCGAATAATATTTTATAATTGTCTTATAAATTTTGTTCTATGAGAATTAATAAATTGCTTTCTTGAGAAAATAAAAATAATATATTGAAATAAAAATAGAGAAAATAGAAAATAAAATAGAAAATAGAAAATATAAAATAAAAATAAAAATAAAAATAAAAATAAAAATAAAATAAAAATAATATATTGAAATAAAAGATTATTTTTATTTTCTCTTTTAGGAGATAATTTATTAATTACTTCAAATTAATATTGTAATTGTGACACAGTTATTATTGTTTTGTGTAATATTTTGCAAATCATAATTTAAAGAGTCTCATAAATTTTAGGTCAACCACTCAGAGCATCAGTGACGATGTCCGAAGGTATGCCACAAGTATCTGGTATTTTATTTTTCAAAATTTTTCTCGGTAATTCTACAACATTGTTTAAGATTCAATGCAAGTAAGTAAAAAATATTCTATGTATATATAATTTATTTACTTAGCTAACAATCTACACCAATGCTATAAAAATAAAAAATTTAACGAGTATCTGTTGCAATAACATCAATTTTAATGTTAATATGAAAAATATTTATATTTTATTATATTTTATTATATTTCTATAACAAGATTTTTTGTACGATGTATGCAACATAAATATTTTTTTATTTATGATATTGTATAAGTTGAGAGAGAGATAAATTCTTGAATATCACGTAGCACTAACTTATAATGATAATAATAATATGATAATAATATCATAATAAAACTAATTAGTTGCCTTTAATGTTATTGAAGCTTGTCGAAACAAAAAAACCAACGGATGACGTTTTATAATATCGCGGCGGCGGAATTCGGCACTTTATTCGAAGATATTCCAACAATCACCGGCATCGTCTCGTATCAACGTAATGGTAATAAAACAGAGGGAGATAATACACCAAATCCAGAGACGGACGTAATATTTTTCGATAAACTTACCCTCGAAGATCGCAAAGGTCATAGGTAAATACATATATTCGGTATAGTAATTTTATAGTATTTTTATATTATATTATATTATATATTTTATATTATATTATATTATATATTTTATATTATATATTTTATATATAATATATATATTTTATATTATATATTTTATATTTTATATTATATTATATTATATATTATTTTTATAATAATTTTAATATTTAAATTTTAAATCCGCTATGAAATTTATTTGAAAATTAAAGGAAGAAAATATCACAATACTGTATTGTATATAATTATTTTCTTATATTTCCAGATGGGAATTTTGCAGAACGAATACCGCGATTAATTCGTACGAGATGAATGAAATATTTTACGTTGAATTGAAAAATGGACCCTGTACACCATTATAATGTTATTTTGATGTGACAATTTTTTATTCGAATAAACGAGATATCCGCAAACATATGCATGATTATTTTTTGAATTTTTGAAAAATTCTACAACAATTTTCTATCCTGAAACATCTCTCTAGCATACATGTATGGCGTTCATAATATTAATTTATGCGATTTATTTTTCGTTACATTTGCGCAAGTGTGAAGAGTCAAATTTTGAATCAGATAATTAGATAATAAAATCGCAATCATCGCGAATGAAAGAATAATCATGCAAATTAAATTAAATTAAATTAAATTAAATTAAATTTACTCACGAGAATCGCTAGTGCTGTGAAATCTTCGCCATCTCTGCCATGTCGTCTGTTATTTGGATAGTCACTCCCGCAAAAATCTATCGAACGAAAAAACACGAGTAATTATTATCACGCGCGCACACAATAATACTCGTCACTTTGATGCAGCAAGTATGCACAATATATGATTAAATGTCATGAAATATACCGATCGTTCGTCGCACCCTTGTTAAATAAACAACGCGTAATGAAAAAATGCGCCGACAATTTCACGTCAAACGCGCGAAATACATTTAGCACGAAATTGGCGACGCAAGTAGCACATGAACTGCCATCTATGAAATGCATTAAAAACACGATAAAAAAGTGTAACTGGATAATTAACCGGAGGATAATTATATTTGGACCATCGTCGGTAACATGACATTAATAGACAATTATTCATCGATTCGGAAAAAATAATCTTATTATTGTATATATAGCTTAAATATTGTGTAATACCGAATACTTACTATGTTATTTAATGAAAATATCACACATTCCTGTTATTCCAATAAAACGATATTTACGCATAATATGTTCAATAATTTTATCACTATTTTTATTCCCGAAAAATAAATTTCTCGATAATTTTATCACTATATTTATATTTGACATTTGATCGCGCGACCGAAAATCTAATAATATTTAATACGTTATTCGATAATTTTTTCCGCATTACATTTATTTATAAACGATATTTATTACACTTTTGAGGTTTATACGATTATTTAATAATGCATTTGAAATTACGATCGCATAAATGGAACTAGCGCACTATTGATGTACCGTATTTTCTCGATATTTCCGACACTGCACGTTTACTTGTAACAATATTTTATTTTCTTTATTCTATAATAATTTAAAATCGTTACGATATTTGATCCCGAGTAAATCACAAGCGACCCAAAACTGCAAATGATTGCACGCGTTTCATAAAAATTGACGTTCAAGTCAAGCGCGGCATATTTGAATTGCGCATATCACGAGTCGGAGATATTTAGTCATTTCCACTCTTGATCTAGAATTTTAAAATAAAATAAATATCGTAATGAATTTCTAAATAAATTTTTTTATATATTTACATGTAATCGGGAGTGTCAAAAAACGTATCAGGCGATCATCGTATTAAATAATATATCGCGTCAAACTCTTCTAATGTTTCTAACGCAAGAAAGAAGACTGAGAGATGTCATGGTCTGCTTTTAGGTAATCCCTGAAAACGATACTCCCTCTATGGACATTGAAAACGTGAACGTGAACTACAAAGCCATTGTTTATGAATGTTCTCAGAGGGCAATATATAATATGTAATAATCGATAAATATAATAAGTTTGTAAATATATATAATCGTGATTAAAAGAGTCGCAGTCTTCTCTCTGTTGCGAGAAACTTTGGAAACTCTAGAAATTCTCTAGAATTCGATAGTCAATCGATGGCACAGTTGATCAATGTGATATTACTCCTAAAGGTGCAATTTCATTGACGCTAGAAACCAGCGGTAAATTAAAATCATTAGACTTTCTCTAGATATGGTGTCAATAAAATAAAGTTCAAACAGTTTCAACTTTTTCAGTGTGTAAAGCGGCCTTTTCATTGACGCTACTTTTTAGCGTCAATGAAATTGCATCTTAACAGTTGGCAGCCCTACGAGATAGGCTGTGCAGCACTGCGCGTATATAAAATAAATTTGAAATCGCTTCTAGCCTAACCATCTTCACGCGATCGACTTTATTTGAATTGCACGGCATCGTATCGAATTATGATGCGGCGCCGATTTGTTCGAACGTAATTCGGGACATCGCGATGCTGTATAAGCGTTGAATGAGCACGAATTGTCACGCAAATATGATAAATCACATCTACTCACCGTTCACCGGCTGTTCCACAGGCCGCTCCACTCGCTCGCCTCGGGACGTCCAATTCCGATCTTTATACGCACAAACTCACATGATTTCATCAACGCGAACGCGCGACACTTTATTCGGCACTCCCGATATTCACTCGCATCCGATAATCATCATCAAGGGCGCAAATAATGCGACGCGACTTCGCTCCATCTTCGCGATCGCGCTATCACTGAACTGTGAAAAATAGCTGTCGCGCACTTTCACCGACATATTATGAAAGTCGCGCGATCATCCTTGGACACTTTTGACGATCTTTCACTCGCGATATTCGTTTAAAAACGGTTAAAAGACGCGAAAAATGCGGACGTACGACGATCCGTGTAACTGCGTATGACTCCGATTCACGTATGACGCGTATGACGTAGCGATCACGCGCTAACATGGCGGCCGAACCAGTGCGCATTCGTTTCTGCGCACTGGTTCGGCTGCCATGTTAGCGCGTGATCGCTACGTCATACGCGTCACTGCTACGTCATACGCGTCATACGTGAATCGGAGTCATACGCAGTTACACGGATCGTCGTACGTCCGCATTTTTCGCGTCTTTTAACCGTTTTTAAACGAATATCGCGAGTGAAAGAGCGTCGAAAGTGTCCAAGGATGATCGCGCGACTTTCATAATATGTCGGTGAAAGTGCGCGACAGCTATTTTTCACAGTTCAGTGACAGCGCGATCGCGAAGATGGAGCGAAGTCGTGTCGCGTTATTTGCGCCCTTGATGATGATTATCGGATGCGAGCGAATATCGGGAGAGCCGAATAAAGTGTCGCGCGTTCGCGTTGATGATATCGTGTGCATCAAGATCGGAATGGGACGTCCCGAGGCGAGCGAGTGGAGCGGCCTGTGGAACAGCCGGTGAACGGTGAGTAGATGTGATTTATCATATTTGCGTGACAATTCGTGCTCATTCGACGCTTATACAGCATCGCGATGTCCCGAATTACGTTCGAACAAATCGGCGCCGCATTATAATTCGATGCGATGCAATTCAAATAAAGTCGATCGCGTAAAGATGGTTAAGCTAGAAGCGATTTCAAATTTATTTTATATACGCGCAGTGCTGCACAGCCTATCTCGTAGGACTGCCAACTGTTAGGTTGATGGCAGAGAACTTTATTTTATTGACGCCATATCTAGAGAAAGTCTAGTGATTTTAATTTGTCGCTGGTTTCTAGCGTCAATGAAATTGCACCTTAACGTCGCGTTTCATAAAAATTGGCGCTTAAGTCAAGCGCGTCACGGCAGCCATATTTGAATCGCGAGTCGGAAGTTGAGATATTTAGCCGTTTCCGTTCTCGTCTGAAGAGTTTTGTGCGCGATTAAATTGCGATATCGAACGTTTATTGTGCGGATATAAGTCGCGATCGAGTGTCGGAAGTGTCGAAAGTACGGAATTAATCGGCCAGTGATTAATGTTGTAATTATAATACAATTCTTCGATCAAAATAAAAATTATTCGTCTCGTCATATATCGGAGTTAGGATTTCAAATTAGAGAATATTATCAATATTAAATAATTTGCAAATGAGCGTGTAATAGTCGCGATCGAGTATCGGGAGTGTTTAAAGAACTATCGGAGTAAAAAAAATCGTATTATGCATATTATATGTATTATATTATATTGCAAAAAATATATATGTTTAGTACATCGCATCGGTAAAGCGTCGACAGTTATCAATGTCAAACATTTACAAAATTAACGAAAAGTTGAGTTTCTAAAGAGAAATGTTGCTTGCAAATGAATTTATAGTGTCGGAAATGCCAAAATAAGTCGGGCGATCATCGTATTATACGATAATATCGTATATTGTGTCGATAATGCGATAGATCCATCAAGTGAACTCCGTGTGACCATCGATATGATTTATCGCGCCAATAGCGCGATAGTTCCGTCAAGTGAACTCCGCGTGACCATCGATATGATTTATCACGCTAATAGTGGGACAGTTTCGTCAAGTGAACTCCATGTGACCGTAGCCAGATATTATTTATGTAAGTATTAATAAGATTAAAAAAGAATAAATATCGCTTATAAATGTTCTTGTAAGGAGAAGCTGAGAAAAGAAAGTATTCAGTATGAAGATTTGTATATATTTTATATACTTATAGGAGATATACACTATATTTATATGATATTTTCTTATTTGTAAGAAGCACACGAATCGAAAAAAATTATCATTCTCCTTTATACTGAACATTTATTTAAAATAATTATTGAATAAAATGTTTATATTTTTTAATAAAATTATATTTCAATATACTTTTTAATCAGTTTTCAATAATCAATTTTTTCTGTGCATGGTATATCATTTTTAATTAAAAAATGTTTTGATGACAGAAATAACTTAACAATTTGCTAAGTTCTTTGAGATATATGTAATTTGTTACATACAAAGAATACAAGAATAAAATGATAGTTAATAAAAATATATTATATAAATAACATTGATTTAAAAGCGATTGACTAATTTATTAAAAGATATTGTTGAATTTAAAAACTTCTAGTATTTGCAGTATACACAATTTGATATATATTTGTAATAATATATTCAATATAACATATTCAAATTAATATAATATAGTCATATAGTCATATTCAAATTAATATAATATAGTTTAATACATTAGAACTATTGAAAATTATATACCATGTAACTGCTGGACTTAAATATAGCATCATATAACAAATACAGCTAGATTTTAAATTAGTATGATTCTACAAAAGAGGATATAAACAATTATGTACAGTTAAAACACATATTTTACCAATTTGTTCTCAAATTTCTTGAATCATATTTAACTTTTCATATAGAAGAGAAAATTGCAATCTTCATTGATCTATCATGCAGATTTTATGTAGAATGGTCATAATTCTTTTTGAAGCTATTCCATATGTGCATTTCTTCTGATACGTTAGATGTATCAAATTGCATCTTTTCCTACAACAATTATATATAGATTTGTTATTATAGCTATGAAATAAATCAATATGATGCAAATAAATTTGAAATTTAAATCTCTTTTTTCCTCTTTAAAGTTGGCAGCCAATTTATTAGTTTGATAAAATGCAAATACAAAGATCTATAATTTTAGCTACTAAATTATAATTCTAATATATATGTATATAAAAAGAACATTCAAGAATTTTTACAAATATCTCAATAGATCTATTCTTTGTGACGGATAGTAAGAATTATTGTCGCAGTATATATATTACTTTTTTCAATGTAGCACAATTTTATATATATTTAGTTTTATATAATTTTATATATATTTAATTTATATATATATATATATATATTTAATTTATATATATTATATATATTTAATTTATATATATATATATATATATATATATATATACACATAAATTAATATATATATTTGTACTTACAGGTTGTAAAAGTACAAATATTTTATTAAAAATAAGGAAATTTTTATATTTTATTATCTGTTTTCTGTAGCATACTTAAAAACACGAGCCACATTAAAAATTGTAATTTTTTTTACAAATTACATGATGAAAGTAGGTTAATATTTGTATACAGCACCATAACCTTATTTTGTCTCTGAAGCGGCTAAACGTTGTAGGTTGTAGGTTGTAGGTACACGCTTAGATGTTAAGATAATAAATACAACAAGAGCATCATTTGAGATAAGTAGAATAGCAAGCACATCTGAATACATTTAATAAATGCAGACGTAATAGTGATATTTTTGTAATAAAGTCTTTTAACGTAAAAGTGCCTTTTAATAATGAGTAACATCGTACTTGTGCGTGCCTTCAAGTCGGGTGACGAGAAAAGTTGCAAGGAATTAATTAGAAATAGCGTAATGTCTTCCCTGACTCCCACGTTTCGTGGAATGTTGTTTAAGGAAATAACTTTTCAACTGGTAATTTTACTTTCTGCGATAACGTTTATTTTCTTTGGAATGCCATTGAACGTTTGCCTTGTGGTTATACCTATAGTCGTTATATTGGTATATATTGGCACATGCATAAGTTTTGTCATAAAGCTAGCAGAGATTGATGAAGAAATATCTAACATTCCCAGGTAGTGTATCGTATATAGATTTTATAACATCTTAATAAAATATATTATGATAGTTGATTCAAGATGTTTTAATGTTTTTGTTTAATATAGGCTTTATATGTCCAATCGCTTCTCACGCTTCTGGGTTGCCGAAGCAATTCAGCCTAATCTAGTGACACAACATCCTAAAGAAGTTCATTATACTATACTTACAGAACAACAGTATTGTCAAGCCAACATGGGAGTTTCTTTACAGGCCAAAAAAATTGTGGGAACTATTTGCTTGACCAAAAGTCATACATTAGATAAGTGCGCATGGATAAAGAGACTGTGTGTGCACAAGCAATATCAGAGGAAGGGTATAGCGACGTGCTTGCTCAATACTGCTGTAGAATTTGCAATTGAAGCAGGGTATAGTTGTGCTAATATAGTGGCTTCCCAATATACGGAAGGTGGTAAAGAACTGTGCCTTAAAAAAGGATTTGAATTGAAACAGATATATCACAAGTCTATCCTAGGATCATACGTAATGATATTAATGTATGAATTGAGTTATCAAATCAAACCTAGTGAGGATGATTACTTACCTTGTATTGGAAAATATTATTTGAACCATTATTAATGATAGATACATTGATTAGGATAACAAATCTCAAAAAAGAGATTAGACTGTTCGAATGAGTCTGTGTTCTCTATTAAGCAAAATGCATCTACCAAATAATGATCTGTACCTCATAGTGATACTTGGTATAAACATTAGTATTATTCAGTTTTATAGTTTAATGAAAAAAGTAACCAACTTTATTACTTTTTTATAAAATGTTAGACATTTCAAGTGATGTATGTTTTTTTATAAAAAAAGTTCATGAGTGTTATTTAAATTTCATGAATTATATAAACTTATAAACAATGGTAATAAAAGTTATATTTTTATCGCACGTTATTCTTCATAGCTTTCTGGTACATTTGGATCTCTTTATCTTCCCAATGTTGATTTTTTATTGTTGATAGGTATCTGGATAATACAAAAATAATTTTATTTTAGTTTAAAATAATAGGCCAAAAAGAATTAAAGTACAAAATGCATTGCAATAAGGAAAGTTTAATGGAAACTTACTTTTCTTGAATTTCTTGCAATAGTGTCTTTTCTTTTTCTGTAATGCTATTTCGCAAGACATCCAGATTCATCTGTAATTGCTTTGTGTTTTGTATTCCAATCAAATTGGTGTCCACATTCGTATATTGCATAGAATGCCATATTGCTAGTTTGGAAAGCTCCACATTTTGATTCTACATATCGTTTATATTATTATTTTTTAGTTGTTAACAGCATTATATATTGATAACTCATTAAACAAATCAACAATATCTTAATTATCAACATACAATAGGTATATAACAAATTTATTTGTAATGTTAAATGATTATAATGAATGTTAAATGATTATATTGAATGTTAAATAATTATAACAGACCTTGCAGTATTGTGCAGCATTAGCACATTGTTCTTTTGTCTCGTCAGAAGCTGGATGCCAGTTTGGTGGACCATTATTTGTTAAAAGACTCATAGAAAGTGCAGCAGCATTGATTAAACCTATATTATGCTTCTACAAAGTTAAGGAGAATTAATATTGCCAATAAAGTAATAAAATATTGTCATCAAGTATTTGTTAATGATGAACGAATAAAAATACCTTGAAAAATGGTATATACTCTAATAAAGTATCGTCGATCAGAGTGAGTCTCGCATAAGACAAGACACAAGCTATATTTATGTTACTCTTTTCGATGCATTCTTTCAATACGGACATTGGATATCCAGTTAGACCTATATACTTGGCTTTTCCCTCGGCTACTTGCTTTGACAGTTCCGGTAGAGTTTGCGTGATGATTATATCTAACGAGGGCGCAAATTCAATATCGTGAATCTATAATATTTACATGATAAAAATCAAATTTTATTAATTTATATTAGTAGAATTTTAATTAAATTAATTATCAATTTCAATATAAAACAATATCTCTTGCCTGAATAACATCGACATAATCTAGTCCCAATAATTCTAAACTCTTTTTCAAACTCTTTCTAGTTTTCTCGACAGAAAAATCGAACATATTATCATAGTCCAATTCATATCTGCCAATTTTCGTCGCGATATAATAAGCTCCTCGCGGAATTCCTTTTAATGCCTATAATAAATTTGCAAAGTAATATATCAAGCGTATTCTATGAATGAAAAAATTTTGAAAATTTTGATATATATATCTTTCTAGTAAATTTTTGCACCTTGCCGAGTATTGTCTCGGATCGACCTTGACCGTACCATGGTGCTGTATCGATATAATTGACACCTTGTTTTATCGCTTGACGTACGGCTTCGATAGCGTCGGTCTCGTCATACGTGCTAGCAATAATATAATTATTGAAAAATCACCATTAATTAAATATAAATAATATTCATACAAAAAAATAAATAATAATTTACCCGTAATGACAACCGAGCGGACCACAACCAAAAGATAATTTGCTTACAAATAAGCCCGTTTTTCCGAGCTCTTTGTATTCCATAGCTTTCATTGCTTCAGGATCATGAAAGCCCTCGATATAAGTGGAAGGAAATTTAGGCCTAAAAAGTGTTACGATAAATAATCGTTAAACTGACATAAAGAAAGATTGAAACTTGATATGAATTTCTCAGTTATAATTTAATTTTATGTGAAATAATATTAAAATATTAATATTATGCGAAAAGCAATCTTTTTAGCAATTTGATTATCACATTTTTGTCATCAAAGATATAAATTTGAAATATAATTATAAAAATATAAATTTATTGGAATAGTATTAAATATATAAAATAAATATAAGTGATAAATATAAGTGATATAAAAATACGTGAAATAATAAAAAGTCGTTCTATATATAATTAATAAAAGTAGTTATTCAAATATGTGATAAGTAATTATTTATAATCCAATAAATTTTTCCAGTAATTTGTTTTATATTTTATATATTATATTATTTATATTTTGCCATAGTTCTGTTCACAAATACATGTTTACAAATATAAAACTATTAATATAAAACAATTGCATAATAATAAGAGAAATGATAATATCTTACATATTGCTTTATTTTTATTACTGAGAAATAATATATAAGTTATTTTCAATCTCGTATATTTTTTAATATACAATTCTAAATTTATATATACAAAATTTATGTAATTAAAATAATTTGTGTAATGACACGTATAGAAAAGAATTAATATAATATGTTATCTGTTACTTTTTGTCTTACTGATAATATTCTCATACATTTTTATTCCCAGATATTACGTCGGTAACAAATTTTGTTGCGATGATTTCTCCTCCTGTAATATTTGAAACTGATTGTCAGCAGTAACGTGAGAAAATTCTAACTAAATGTTATCAAGTATGTAAGACTTTGAAAAGAATTTAAAGAATTTCGATCAAATCTTATCATTATCTAACTTATCAGTAATATATAATGCAACACTTTGATTGCGTTCGCTTTGTACGCTTACGCGCTGTGAGCATTATTCTGTCTTTATTGCACATCGAATATCAAACGAAGATAGAATGATGCTCGCAGCGCGTAAGCGTACAAAGTGAACACAGCCTTTATATAATGCACTAATTTATTGTTATTTGGAATTTAATTTTTGTAATTAGAAATTTTGCTTAGGCAAATATATCAATTGAATTAATCACTCTTCAATTAAGTTAATTGGAATTTAGAAGTAGCCCTATTTTCACTCTTTTATAAGACAGAAAAAAGAATGTGCACATAGATCTTTTCTACACATTACTCCATACTCTCTATTATACTCATTGGACCTGTTCTTTTTAGCTGCGCTATTGCACTAGTGCAATAATGCAGCAATTAGTTAGAGTGAAAGAAAGTATGTTTGTCTCTTTCCAACTTACTGCACTAGTGCAGCAGTGCAACTGAAAAGAACAAATCCATTGTCAAATAGTGGGAGGCTACGCCATCATGCTCGTACATCTCTATAGATACGTGCAAAGTCGACAGAGTAATACAATCGATTCTAAGTGTAATTATAAATATTTGAATAGTATATAAAGAAACTCCAATCAGAACATTTATTGGATATAAATAACAATTCAACGTGTTTCCATTTTAAATTGATTTTCACAAACATCTTATCAATTACTGATTATAAAGAAAACTGTCGGAGTTCTACTTTATCAATGACAAGTTTACATGACAATCTACTTTTTTATTCTATACATGTAATAATTCGATTTAATTTCATAAAAAACTGATTTTCATTTTTTGTTAATATGCGTATAAAATGTTATTTATATTTTAAATTTGTATCGCAATTATTCATGTATTTAAATAACATCTTTTATATTTTATTTTCTTCATTTATATGTATATTATATATAATTGTTATAAAAATATAATTATAATATACATATATAAGTCAATGATGATAAAGAATAATTAGTTAAAAAATTATTTTAAAAATACATCGATCCAATATGAAAACGTCAAGTATATCTCTTTTTGTAAATGTATATCTCTTTTTGTTCATTTTCTCTTGATAATTGCATATAATTCGTGTTATTACTGTTACTATTTAAATGGACAGGGAAAAACTTACCTTAAAAAGTTAAAAGTTAAATGTTACCTTATTAGTGTGTTCTATCACACATTTATTCTTACTAGATATTTTTATATAAAAACACTATAAAACTATAAAAAAAAATCAAGCTCAAAAAGCGGAAATGTTTAATTTTAAGGCGACTAATTATCTTTCAAAACACGTTTAAATATTATATTTTATTCTCTCTCTCTTTTATTTCTCTATTATAATCTATATATTTCTCGATTATAATTTATGTTTAATAGTATAATTTTCAATTTATTTTTCCCTAATATTTTGTCAACCTCAGGGTTAAAGACTCGAACACTCTTCATCACCGTGCGTTCTCGTTTTTTCCGGTCCTGTGTCATGCAAAGACCCCGTAATTTCGGCGCGCGGCCCGTTTTCTGGGTTATATACCAGACGTCTCGTTCGCCAAGCATGATTATGTAATAAATAGGGGCCGCCGGTTCGGGGCCCTGTGCCCTCAGGCGACCGAAAATTCGCAGTCAAGGTAGAGGCCACTGGTCAGTGTACTCGTTTCTCTCGCGTGTTCACCATCGACGCTTCTTCACTTGTTCCACAAAAATTCTTCTACAAAAAACTTTTATAAAAACGTACATTTATCAAACGTACATTTATTTGTAAGTATAAAATTGTACTATCGATTGATTTATCTCCTTTTACGTGTTTTCAAGTTAATTAGCTCTCGATAAATATAAAAAAAAAAAAGATTTCAATTTACCGTTGTTTTCAATTATAAAAGTAATTTTATGAATTTGTAGGAAATCCATTACTACTATTAAATTAAGGATATTAAAATTATGAGCAAAATATTGTTATATTTTATAATTAATATTTCGTAATTAATATTTCGTAATTAATATTTTATAATTAATATTTCGTATAAAATAATATATTTTTTCATCATATTTATCGTATTACAAAAAGAATAGCATACGAATGGTAAAGAATTTAAAAATTCTATAAAAATCTATAAAATTCTATAAAATTAGATGCGAACAGAATTTAATGATCTTTTTAAAAGTTAACACACACACACACACACATATATAATATTTTGCGCGCGTTAGAGGTAATTTTTTTTTCAGATAGATTAATTTCTGCACGTGAAGCGATAGCATTGACTAGCGTCAGGCATTGCTTATCTAAAAGCGCAAAAACATTTGGTAAAGTTTGATAGCCTTAATCGTTGTTTTTTTTACGCGAAAGAATAATTTCGGATCCGTACAGAATGTGGCCAGTTGACGTGGGTGATAATTAAGCCGTCGAAAAAGGGTCAGGATTCCATTTTTAATTAAAAAATGAGCACCGTTAATTTTCGTAGTTCGTTCGTCGCGGACGATATAAACGACATGCAGTTAATTCGAGGCTGTTAGAACGACAATGCAAGCTGTCCCTAGTCTATACGGGAGATGCATATATCATGCTACACGATTCACGTGTCACCGACACACGTGTGACAGGAGTCGCGCCGATAAGGACGAAAAATCGCGAGTCTATTTTTGACTCTCCATGATTTCTGAAACGTTCTCAAGGAAAAGTAATCGCGACAAGGAGTCGCGAAACATTCCATGAAATGTATTTATGAAACTATGCGAAGCGAAATCATCTATATCTCGTCCAATAACATAGATTACTGTGGGTTTGACATTTTAAACTTACAATTAGATTTACATCAAGTTCTGACTTACTCCGAGTTTTATTCACGTAACAGGAAAATCGATATTGTTGTGCTTGCGACAGTTTTATCACATAAAAATCATATTTGATATGAAATATATATGTGTGGAATATTTGGATATTTTTTCTATAATTTATTATTAAAAAAAACATGAAAAAAGCAGTGAATTTAAATTGCTTTGCTTTATCGCAAAATAAATAGAGATTGATATTTTATTTAATTTCCTCAATGTAGAATCGTATTTAGAATTGATATTTTGCACAAACGACAATAGTAGAGAGAAGAATAATTCTTTTATTATGAAAAAATCGATTTACCATTTATCATTTGAAAGAACAAGGTATTATCATATTCATGTTTACCGTAATTAACTTACCGAGTATATTTGAGTCAGGAAGCGCTTTGTATAATTCGTCTTGACTAACATTCTATTTGTATTTGTTTTAGGTTTCCACACTTAATTGGCGGTTATCATGCCAACCAATAAAGGCGAACAGTGGTACGCGGATTGGATCGTTGCGGCGGATGTGTGTATGGATCTACCCGGTAGTTTTCAGGAAAATAAAAACGAGGTTCTGCTTCGCTTGGATAAGTTACTTCTTCAGCAAGGTATGTTAACTTGTCATTTACCATGTAATTTGCGCTTAAATTTCTTTCTCTTCACATTCGTTTGATAAAAGCTTAATGCAAAACGTGGCTATTTGACTTGGACTCCTCGTTTATATCAAACGTACGTTGTTTTTTAAGAAAGACTTATGTTTAAAAGAACTTGTACGCTTAACTTTAACATGCTTAACTGTTACATGTTAGTCATATTTTATCATTGTGTTAACATTTAGAAGAGAGAAGCATGTGTTGCTTTACTTCCTACATTCGTGCCACGATCGTTGAGACATAAATCATTCAGCGATATTACAAGCGAATCAGTTGTATAAACTAAAAATTTTCCAACATTCTACCGACAAGGGTCGATGGGGAATCGGCTGATTTCTTTTCGCTAAGTGAGAAAAATAACGAAGCCGACGGTAATGCGTTAAGTTTTACGAGCGCGCGTGGAGAGAATCCTCGATTATCGCGGTGAAAAATATATTATCGGTTGAATCTTTAATGATGTTAAGCAGAAAAGGTAAAAATAGTCGGTTAGAATACGAAACAACGTACACTTTTATAATTTTATGCGCTACCATGTCACGAAGAAAATGAATATTAATTTAGACAATATTTGAAGAGACGAAATTATTAATTGCTCTCTTTGTTTTTATTATTTTAAAATTACACGTAGATAAATATTTTAATTGAAATTATTTTGTGTTTTATTGCTCCGAGATGCATCACAAGTTTCGGATTCTTGTAGAGAGGGAAATAAATAAATATTACATTGATTAAACAATTTGTAAGGAATAATTTGTTTGTAGAACAATACGTATACTCTGTTCCCTGACATTTATCAACTAGTACTTTGTCAGACAAAATCATCAATTTATTTGACGTACAGCACATATACATGCATGTGCGTGTGTGTGCAGACGTCTCGAGCATGCTCGCATATAATTTCGTTTCATATAAACCGTATTAAGGTCCTTTCCAAATGTATTCCATGATAAAATCTGTTAGCCAGGGTCGCGCATGATTACAATATTCCAGGCTGTAATAAAAGGAGATGCTATCGACACATATCGCGCCGTCTATTTTCGGTGGTTCGATGTTTCTAGCAGAATAGAAAGAGAGGGAAATAAAGAAAAAAGCACTCTTCGTAAAGCTACGATATCCGACGTATGCAAACGAAGATGAAAGACGAAGAAAGATGAACGATAAAGATGATTCTATAGAAAGAAAGAGAGTTTACCACTTTGCGAGAATTTTAACTGCGATGTGGGAAACTTTAGTCGTGTCGTGCGTGACGAGACTTTTTTCTTTACGACGTAACACACATATTCATCTAAAATATTTTTACCTCCTAATCCTCCAAACATTGCGTATTTTTTTATCAAAGTTTGTTAATCTCACACATCCTTATTTAAAAGTAAATTAATTATTTCTAATCGAACGACGAATACGATATGTTTATATAAGAAATATATATTTTAATCATCTATACATGCGCTTTTATATGTATTTTTAAATTGTAAAAAAAAATTCTTGACTATTTTATCGCGTAATTCTTATTCGATAATTTATTCTTTTAGTTTTCAACAATTCCGAAAATACTAAAAGTGATAATTATTATTGGTTACATTCTGACTTTCATCAATATGATCATTTTTCTATTATTCTTTGAAAATATTCAAAGCAATTTTTATCATGTGCCAAAACAATGCGTAGTCATCAGAAAGATTAAGTTTGATTAAATGTATCCTTTATCAAGAAATGTGATAATCATTATCATGCGCTATCGATCATTTATTCCAAGAAACAGAATCTGATTTGTTTCGGTTAAATGTTTATAAATATTAAAAGTTTTCTCATATAATTTTTTCAACTTATGAAGATTTTTG